CAAGCAAGCAACAACGCTTTCCTCGAGCACATCTTCTTCAAGAAGAACCTCCGACGCCCTCTGCAGGTCGGGTTGTCATACGATTGTGTGTTTGTGTGCGCGAGACTTGTCGAGCTGTAGAGAAGAGGCCGTCAGAAGAGACGACTTCCCGCAACGGTTGCCGGATTGAGAGCATGTGGTCGGTACAGGACGCCAGACAGACTGGCCTCATGGCGGAAGATGAGGGACTAAATTAAAATGTAGGAAACCGCGTACCAATTAGCTCTGGCTGCCAAATAGACTTGAAGAGACGAAGAGAGTGCAAGAGAAGCAAAGAGAGAGAGAGAGAGAGAATAAAAAGTGACAGAAAGAGCCACTGAGCATGACTTGACTTGAGTCTGCTTTTGGACCCTGATTGTCAACCAACTCGCGGTTGCTATGCCCACATACACACAAACATACACACACCAAGACACATACAAGATGGTATGGATGATGTGCTAGTTTATTAATATACAGAAAAGTTGCGACCACACCCCCTGGCTGGCATGCACGAAGGAGCAAATGATGCAATGTCTCGTGAAGATGGCCAATTGAGGTTGACGAAGTAATGGAACCTTTCGTGGTTTTCTGTTTTGCGGTGGTTTTTCGTGAATAGTCGGGACTGGCTGTGACGAGGTCGGGGACGAGGTGACAGACGAGGCGATGTCTTCTTGGCGCAAGCCAATCTACGAATCCCTTCGATGCGCCGTCTCGAACAAGGGCAAATGTACGCCAGTATCGGCAAATAGAGACTGTGACAAACGTGTCTTTTTGGCATTTTTGGCGCACTTTTCCGGTTCTTCGGGCGTCAACCCGACTGCAAATCAGTTCCCAAATGACCCATTGGCCTAAACCACATTTTCCTGCTCGCTCTTCGGGTCTGTTCGTGCAAAACGGGACGGCAAAGAGTCAGATGGGATGAGGCAGAAGTGAAGACATTTCGGAAAGTCTCGGCCCAAATTATCATTTTGGCATTCAACATGGCAAAAGATGTCAAACTGAAATGAGGTGTGGAATTGCTTTACATTCTATAATTACAACATGAATGTAATAATTGTTTATGACATATTTGCATACTTTGATGTTATTCTATCATTAAAGTGCTTTTATTATGCCAAGAAAAATTGTGTTTCGACCAATCTCTTCTTTCATAATTGTCGAGCTGACTTCCATTTCGAGTGAAAGTGTGTCGCGTGAAGAGATTGCAAGGTCGGTCGGTTCGACCAGAAGACGACAACGCCAACTGCCTACTCATCAGACTACTCATTCGCTAATTCATCGACCACAATTATTTCTTTGGCTGCTGACAAAGCCGGTCAGTTGACAAATCTGTTCAAAGAAAAGTTAGGTTTTGAGCAATCTCTCGTTTCATTTCCGTTTCGAATGAAAGTGTGTTGCGTGAAGAGATTCGAAGGTCGGTTCCAGCAGAAGACCAACTGTCGATTGGCTCTACTGGAACATTCATGCTGACGCTGTTTCCAAGGCAGTCTCCTTCGATTCCGGTGAAAAGGTGTTAAGCTTTCGTCTGTCATGTGAAGAACATCGTCAGAGCAAGGTGTCATCGTCACAACCAAATGGAAGCTAACAAGTCAAGAAAGGGGTCACCAAACATTGCTGGCCAAAAACAGACGTTCCTTTTTGCTAATAACACAAACA